GAGAACGCTATTACGCTGCCAAGAAATTACATATAGATAAAAATGGAATTCAAATAGATGGCGAAACGTTGCCTGACCTAAGATTTACATAAGTAAATTAAACATATGTAGCAAAGAAGTTTGGGTAATTTACACAAACGTAAAATACAAAATCGACGACTGCACAATGGAGCGAATAGGCAGTTTCAAATACATCTGCAGAACACGAAGGATATTGACAAAGAAATAATGTAAAGTATAAATACGGGATATACATGTTTTGGCAGATATAAGGATAAGTATTTAAATTGTGTATTATACCAACTGTAATTTATGAGTGTAACATATGGGAATATTTTCAGAATAAAGAGGAGTATCAGAACAATGCAATGGAACAACGAAGAATAGATTAGAATAGTGCTTTCTGATTTGAACGATGAATTATGCATCAAATTTGCAGGTAGCATAAACTTGTGCAATATCCTCGCATTGGAGGAAGCCGGCCTATTGTACATTTGAAATATCGGATAAATATCTGATAATTCTCGATGTTTTAGATTGATATTAGACAGGGTCTACAGCTGGGTGGTGGTTTAATTTTTTTAAACATGGAATACTCTGAGAGCTATCAATGTCTTAGATTCATAGGAAAACGTATAACGTGTGGAGGTAAACAAGGAATGTCGGTCGAAAACACACAATATAGTAATGGAAAGAGATAGTGTGAAACCTTTGTATTTTTTGGCAATCTCAAAAACTTATGCAAACACTACGGAATGCTAAATGCAGTGCCTATTCATCTCTCGCATAATAAATAAATAAATAAATGATTTTAATTAATATGTAGATAAACTTGGAAAGGTGCTACCGGATGTAAACGGCAACCTTGCAATTCCGCGACTGATGAATATCGAAATACAACTTTCATAAAAATGGTAAAATAATTCTCCGATAATTATCGATCTAAAACTTCGATAGTTAGGCAATCGGAGGATTTAAGGTTGGAACCACATCCAACAGACACGGATATTGTCAAATAATTGTCGAAGTATTAGAATGATACAATGGGCAACATTGTTTGATAATTCTCTGATAATTATCCGATAACATTATGCAAGATCCCGCCTTCACGGACTTTCGAGCATCATGGCCGGACTACACTACAGCTGGATTTCCAGTATTAACCCACAGGACATCCTGGTTATATCAAGGTAGTAAAAGGTCACGCACGGCTAGTCAGATTAAGTTTGACACAAGTATACTGTGTGTCGGAACATAGGGGTGTCGGAACATAGTGGTGTAGAAACATAGACATGTCGGAACATAGGGCAGTCCCCCCTTCTCAGACACCCCCCTGTTCGCGCAAGCGCGGACATTGGCCGCTTACGCGGACAGAAAAAGTGTCCCCCTCACTTTTCAGAATGGATCGACGCCCCTGCTTATTTAGATTTGAATGTGACCGTCTTCTGGGGATATTGTTTTATCTATTTACATTAAATGGAATTAGTATGCTCATACCTTTAAAAAAACTGTTATTTCATAGCTGTGTGAAACCATTTTCTCAATTTCTGACATATTCTATGATGTCATACTTTACCCATAATCCTCTGCTGAAGAATCAAGATGGCGGACAACATAAACTGATGAAAAGTTGAATATCTAGAGAATGAAAAGTCATTTAAGTGATATAAAAAAATGTAAATTGCATGTTCTTACATTTGCCGAGCTGTTTTATCTGGGAGTATTATGTTGATAGCCTTGACTTTCCCTTTAATCTGTTTTGTTTTTTGTCTGCAATCACATATATTTCAACAATTTTGACTATAACATCAGTGTGCAGGCAATAGTATGAGCCAGATGGATTCACATCATTTGTAGCACCAGCACCTATGACTTAGCTTTAAAGCGGGAGGGTCGTCACCTGCGCAAGCGCGGGAATTGAGTCCCAAGCGATGATAACAACACATGCTGAAAACTCAAAGGCTCATGGGTAGACGCTTGTTTGTAAACAGTGACACGCTACGGCCATCTGACGCATGCGCAGGTGACGACTCCCCCGCTTTAACATTCAAAAAAAGTTGACAGACTGAGAGACCACACTTTTCTGGAGCTGACGAATATTGACACTACTGGCGCTAATTTACAACAGGTACTAGATGGAGGTCGGTTCCTTGGAAATAGTTTTATTGTTTGCTCAAATTGTCATGTTTTCTGACAAAAGAGCAAATAAATGACCAGTAACTTAGGGGAATCATGTGTACGAAGTGGCTTTGTTTTGGTAGTTCGGTGAATTCATTATCAAACGTTGAGACACCTAGGCTAGCGAAACCTGGTGTATTCAGTGATATTATAAAAGGAAGTTTACATGAAAAATTTCAGAATTCTCTAAGTTTAATTTGTTGCTTTACGTCACTACTACCTTTTTGTTGCACAGCTTTTAACGACTCAATGTCTTAGACACTCCTAGCTATGCCCCCGCGTATTAATGGTTTAATCCTTATATATTTTCAACATGGCGGATGTGACAGAGAAGAACGCTGTGTCGTTGTCGTTGACACACAAAGGGTCGGATAGCGTGGCCAAACTCGGGCATAGAGAGTACGAGATGAAGCCTAGCGAGTCCAAAGTGAGTGTATTTAAGGCTGGTGGTGACAATCTAGATGTTTTACTCGGAGAACACTATCTAGTGAAACGATCGGACAACACATGGCGTAAGTCAGATTTTACTCAAGTTCAGTCAGTGATGACGATTTCTCGTGTTTTATTTTGACCCCACTCACTGGATCATGGCCAAAACCACGTTTTTACACCAACCCACCTAAGTACATGCTGATCATGGACCGTGGTTCGAAATCCTGGGCTTTGGTAGTCATTATTTCACTACTTTCAGTGTACGTTGGCCCTTCGCTGTTGTCGTAGACAACACGCGAGGCGAATATAAATAAACTGTAGACTGTAGCAGTCGATCTTGAAAGGTTTTGAGACATTCACACGAGATGTGGGCACTAATTAAATCTGTTTATCGACATCAACGCCATTATGTGCCTCTCACACATTGTGTGTAATTGAACTTGGTCCTTGAAATTATCTGTAAAATCACAGTCCCTCTATCATGATAAAGTAAGAGTAACTTATATACAAACTTAACTGACTCCTAGGCAAATATTATTTAATTTTCAAGGTGTTCTCCTTTAATCTTCTAGAAATAATTAGACTAACATTTCGTTCTTTTTCTTGTCAACTTGGCCTCCTCATCCAAATTGACCATATCATTTCATACCCAAAAAACTGTTTTTGTAAATACATGATTGTTCAGGTGTTTACATGGACAAGTATGATGATCGTAAATGTTTTTAATATTGGAAACAGTTTTGATGGTTAGTTACGTGTGATTATATTTTTATTTTATTTTTGTTAAATGCATGAAAAATGTAATTATTGACTGTGTTTGCTAGGTTAGAATAAATTTAAATAATTGTTGGGGTAAAATAATTGTGATAGGAACCTTTATAAGACCAGAGTAAAAATACTAGTAACATGCAAAGTTTTGTTATGTATTGATTTTATTGTCAAATATTTCTAAATAAATCTAATTTCTTTGTTCAGATAAAGCTGAGGTGATCCACTCCAGAGAGAATGACTTGGTTGGCAGAAAAGAGTTCTATGTACATTACAAAGGATGTAAGTTTTTTTTTTTGATTATTTTGATTTGATTTGATTCTTTGATGATCTTCACATGCACTCAAATGTTACAAAAGTGTCCCACTCATATTGTACAGTATTGGATCTATTAGAAGCGCATCTCTAATAGAGATGTAATGTACCATATTCACAATATTTGTGTTGTGACTGTCCGAAAGCTTCTTTTTAAATCATATCTCAAAGCATGTCATTTCAAACCTGTTTAACGTTACTGATATTTATTTATTGGTCTTAGACTGGTAGAAGTCTTTAACTCAAACAACAATGCTAACAGTGTAACAGTGTTTATAACTATAAAAAGATATTCAAGATCACTATATCAACTTTCAATTTATTGTTTCGTCAATGATTCGTGTGCCAATCTTTACCCTTTTAAGCATTCTTATTTGTATTTGTCATCTTTCAGTTAACAGACGATTGGATGAATGGGTTGACAAGGATCGGTTAGATCTGATGGGCAGTAACCGAGCAACTGAAGAAAAAAAATTATCTGAGTTACAGAATGTACTCGAGAAACCAGAACGGAAAATTACACGTAATCAGAAGAGAAAACACGATGAAATTAACCATGTACAAAAGGTATGTTAGATTTATAAGATTAGTGTATACAACTTTTATAATCATGTATGGCAATCTGAGATGAAGATCGCACAAAAAACAAGCTCTCGCAATTTGCAAACTATTTCCTATTTCATGCTCGTCAATCGGTTGTAGTTTTAACCAATAGTGTTACAGAATGCAGTACGTGCATGGGAATGGTCAATAGTATAAACTGAAATGAGTGAAATTATCCTTGCATTCAAAAATGAAAAACGCACCTATTACACAATTTGTGAATAAAAATCAACATTGCCAAAAATCGATATGGAAACCCGAATCAGTTCTTTCACAGGCTCACTCATTTTAATTGGCCTTTCTAAAAATGTTTGTTTTTCTCATGATTTTGTGGTCATATCGCATTTCGCATAGCTTTTTCAAGCATGGTGAGCATTTGCATATCCTAATTTTATAAATCCTTGTCTAAGCACATTTTTGCCTTTGGTCAAACACATGAACAAATGTGCTGTGATATTTTCTCTGTTTTAAATTAACATTGTCTTCTTTTTAGCTCCGCTGTCGACTTTGTCGAGCGAAGCTTATCATATGAGTGATTGTCCGTCGTCGTCCGTGTCAATGTTTTACTTTTTCGACTTCTTCTTGAAAACTACAAGCCTGAATGCTTTCATACTTGGTGTATATGTCTACCTTGGGTAGACCTCTCTCAGATTTGTTCATTTCATGATGATATCTTCAATTCTCTAATTTTGGTGAATATTTTTGTCATTTTTGGTAAAAAGTGATATTTTCAACTTCTTGTTAAAAACCGCAAGTCCAATTGGTTTGATATTACATATATAGGTACTACATGTGGACCTCTCTCAGATTTGTTCATTTCATAATGATATCTTCAATTCTCTAATTTTGGTGAATATTTTTGTAATTTTTTGTAAATAGTGATATTTTCAACTTCTTGTTAAAAACCGCAAGTCCAATTGGTTTGATATTACATATATAGGTACTACATGTGGACCTCTCTCAGATTTGTTCATTTTGTAATGATATCTTTAATTCTCTAATTTTGGTGAATATTTTTGTCATTTTTGGTAAAAAGTGATATTTTCGACTTCTTGTTGAAAACCGCAAGTCCAATTGCTTTGATATTACATATATAGGTACTACATGTGGACCTCTCTCAGATTGTTCATTTTCTAATGATATCTTCTGTTCTTTAATTGCCATGTGCATAACTAACAGCGGAGCTATCTCAGCCGACAGGCTGCTTGTTAATTTTTACCTTATTATACTGTGAAATAAGTACTTAAAACAGCAATAGTTCAAATTCTATTAAATCAAATTGCACAAAGAGAAAACAATCAGTTGTCTAAGTTTACCTGAATCATTTTTTTTTTTCAATAGACGTTTGCCGAGATGGACCCGACCACAGCAGCACTTGAAAGAGAACACGAAGCGGTGAGTTTTATATATGATGTATTGCATTTCAAACTCTGAATGAGTTCAGTATTTATATTACATTGAGTTTACGTTATTTAAAAATGTATTTATTTATTCGATGAACTGTTAGGTATATGAGGGGGAAATGTCTTTCTTGAAAATGTCTGTAAAAAATTGTGTCTGTTACTTCGAGAGTGGGTTTTTGAGGACTGTGAATCTGCTAGTGGAAATAAACGCAGTGCTGATCCAAAATGAAACAGTTTTCTTGCACTCTGAGGTCAGGACTGAGGAATCCTCGAGGGCGGAGCTACGTCACAGATGTTCCACGTTGCTAAGATGCGCACCACTGTACAACAGAAACTCAACTTGAACTTAATCCTGAACAATAAAATTTAAATGCATTACACACACAGGGGTAATCTTGTTAGACTGTTCAGGGAGTCTCAACAACTATCCCAAAGTACCGTTTTCAGAGAGTTTTTTGGCCTTTGTTTTTGCCGTGATGGTTGCCAAGCGATGAAAATGCCCGGATGTCCGCCCCCGAGAATTGATACAGATTAGTATTGTTCTGAGTGATAGATCAAAGGTTAGCGTGTTAGTCTCACTTCACTGTGATTAGTCCCAGTGACATTTTAATTTGCATAAATGTACTACATGTACATGTAATTTCACAACTTTATACGTACAACAAATATTTGATTATGAGAAGTCAATTGTAATCATTCTTGTCCACACTTTTTGCAGATTACAAAAATTAAATATGTTGATATGGTACAGATTGGAAGGTACGAGATAGACGCATGGTATTTTTCACCTTATCCAGAAGACTACGGGAAAGCTCCGAAACTCTATGTTTGTGAATATTGTTTAAAATACATGAGACTAGAAAAAACTTATCGGCACCATTTGGTAAGTGAACACATTATTGGTTCTTGATGCACGTCATTTTGTTTTTCAGATCAGATTCAAATGGCTGACAGGTGGCCATTTTTTTTAATGAATGCGCTTCTAGAGCCATATCTCTGACATGCTTTGACTGATTATGTTCAAATTTTATATATTCATTGTACATCATGTCATAGATATACAGATGTATTCAAAATAGTTGACTAGTGGTTTACATTCAAACTATATCACTATAAACAAAACTATACATCTTAAATTCGATAACTAAACGGGACTGTGCCATGCATGGCCTGTTGTTGGATAATTTAGTGTGTAAATTTCATGTAGTAAAAAATAAGTAATCTTCAGTAGATGTGTAATACCGTATTACCCCGGGCACGCGCCCCTCCCTGGGCAAGCGCCCACCCCCCTGTTTTCACAAAAGTTACATGTTGGGAACATCCTCGGTTAAACGCCCAGGGTGATTTTTAGCCAAAAATGGGGTCAACAATAAAGTTTTATTTGTCAAAAACGAACGCGTTTGATTTATTTAAATAGTGCGTTTGTTACAGTAGTTCTCTTTTTGGAGTGTGTGGTGGCCCTGAAAAAGGCCGTTTTGTTTGTGTTTTTATGTAAAAACTCATTGGAACTTAACGACGTAAGATGAACCACGCAGCATGTTGGCGCACACGTTCCGCTTTCTCTTCATTTGCGATGAATCCAACCAATATTGCAATAATCCATACTTTGGTGAGTGATTTGAAGCACTTAGCTTTGGTTTCAAAACGTAGCACTTCGCTGACTGAATCCATAACGAAAGAGCATCGTCAGGCGATGGACGTGGGGCTTTTTAGCAACGACCGTAAACGTATCCGTGTCCAGCCATTGCTTGGCCACATAGAGGTCAAAATACGCGTTCTATTTTTACGCGTTAAGTTTGGT